CTTGCGTGATATGGGACTCTTTTTCGCGATACGGATTTCTTTGAAAAACGGAAAGTATGTGCGTGTGACTGAGCAACCGAACGAGAACCTCATCTATCTTCGGTTTTGCCTCGTGTAGTAGAGAAGGGGGGAGGGAGAGAAAAAAGAAGTAGCGGCAATCGCGGTTGAACAACGAACTCTCGTCCGTCACCGATTAACCTTCCACCGTAATCCGCAAGTAGCTAAAGTAGCAGTGCGGGCGGGAGAATCTCCCGGCCTCTCGGTGTTTGTCCGAGGGGGGGTAGAGGGGGTGTTGGACGGGATCCAGTACGACTCGGCAACGGCGCCGACCTGCAGTGCAACGGGGCAACATCGCATTCTCGAGAGCCAAGCAGCAGGCGCATTCACCCTTCTTGGCGGGTGCAGCGCGCCTGCGCGCAGGCGCTCGACGTTGCGTCGGCAGACGGCAGTTGGCTCACCGACACGCGGAACTGCGCGCGAGCGCTCCCTCTCCCCTCCCCCCCTCCCTACGCTCCTCGCTGAAGAACTGCGCATGCGCAGCGGTTCTGCCACGTGTGGCGTGGCGCACCACCGCATCGCCGCGCTGCCGAAATGTCGCTGCCGTCTGAGTACTTTGCCGCGCGGAACGCCAATGGCAACTATTCCGGCGCGAATCGTATTTTCGACGCGTCACGCGATTGGTCGGCACGTTCGGCCGCACGGGGGTACCCCATAATTCCTTCTTTCGGTTCTCGCCTTCTCTCACGCTCCTTCTTTTTCCATACGGCCACTTCCTCCTCGTTTCCTTTACTTTAACCTCGTCCATCCTTTCTTTTCGTCGGCTTATTTCACGCGTCATGCCGGGTCTTTCTCTTTTCACCTAGATCCAATTTTGAACGACTATGCGTTTGCGTTAGCAAAATCGAAACACATTCTCGCGAGATGACATTCTGATGGCTATGGAGGGTGCACGCACGACGCTGGCAGAACATGGATCGCGTATGCAATGGTGATAACTGTAATAATTCAGCAGGTTTAATCTTAATTGGTCTAGTAAAGTGGAATCGTGTTTGGCAGATCTCTTAGTGCGTTCCATTTCGTGTAGAATTATAAAAAATTGAAAGTTTTTGTAATACCGTTTATCCAGACGGTGAACACTAGGTTATAACTTTTTCTTAACAACTAATTAAGAAAAGAATAATGTAACTTTCATCGTATCTGGATTCACGTTATTGCGAAAACTCCCTAATATCTATTATTCAGACAACAACAAAAAAATCGATGTATGATTATATCCATATTCAATTAAAATTTTGCAACTTTTTCAAACAAATTTACTCCGTTTCAAGACATTTTTAGCAAATTGAGAATATTAGAAAATCCATATGAATAAGATAAACCAAGATAATCTTTGGTCGCGAGAAAATTGGAGGAACCGCCCTACCATATCGGCCGTAGATGTCAATAATTTCTCGCAGTAATTGTCGCGGGTCGGGGGCGACGACTCGCTTTTGCCGGGTGCGATCGATGGAAACCTTCGGGATTGAGAGATATATACGAGAAAGAGAGATGTCAGGAGCGAGGTCGTTGCTAGACGTGAATATCATTTATTTTCGCCCACGAGACCGATAAGAGTTTGAATCGTTCAAGAAAATATAACATTCTCCCTACTGGGTATTTTATCCGAAATGTATCCGTAATGATGGATTCGAATTTGTATTTGTCCTTTTCTCCTTAGCGAAACTTGATAAAACGTCATTATATGGACGCTGCATTATTTATATAAAGCGAGCAATAGCAAGAAATTTTCCGTGAAATTTACCACGATTTGTGGTGTAAATTTTAGCCTTAGAATAACCTGTCTGAATTTAACAATACTACTGATATTAAAAAAAAATTTTATTCTCGCTTGGCTTTTTTAAATTTTTATGCGTTATTTTAATAATTCAAGCATTGCTAAATAATAATAATTTTTTTGTCGACACTTGACACTTGTTCTGATTAATGATGCGTCGCTTGTTATGGAACTCACACTTAGCAAAGTAGACAATGTTTTTTTTTTTGTAATATCGATACTCCATTCAATATCGATCGCATTTAATACTTGGCGCTCGATTCCGTCAGGATTACTAATTAGTTTAATTAAATTAATAATCCACTGGCGCGGCGAGGCAAACCGAAGTAGAGAAATTGCAATTTTTGCAATCACATTTTTTATTCCGAGTTAACTGAATCTATCGATTTGCTCGTTAATTGCAGTTGATTTTTCCGAAGACTCGACTGAGTTTTGTCTTTTTTTCAATGCATTCTAGCGTTATTGTCTCGAAAGATACACATATAGAGTTTCAATATGAAATAAAAGAATCAATAATATACAGTATAATTAAAAATAAAATAAAATATAATATAATGATTGCTATAAAATTTGAAATTAGGGAAATTGAAAATAGTTAGCGAAATTAGAAAAAATCAGGGAATTTTACAAAATTTTCTGGAAAATCAAAATTTTTGGTTTTAAAGAATTTTTGGTTTTAATATGCGTACATCACACATACATCTTTTTTTATACATACTACTAATTTAACAATTAAATGCAAACAGTGTCAGCAACATTAATTCCACATTGCTAAATCACTACATTGAATCTCTCTCTCAATAAAATATTTGATGATTTCCAAATTAGAAAATTTGGAATTAAAAAATACAAAAAATTCAAAGTATCATCGAAAGCATCAGGGGAAATTGTGAAATGTTTGAAAATCAGGAAAAAATTATGGAAAAAAATAAGGAATTTGTGACGATCCTATATAAGAGTACGTGTATTTTCGAATTCTTTTCGAATTCTAACACTGTTTTTTTTATTATTACATTGTAATTATATATTCTGAGAATTTTACTTTGTATTCGACATCGTTATTGACTGATTCGACGAGATATGCGATATTCCCGCGAAATCCCATCGAAGAGTACTGTTATCCGCGTGAGCATCGAACGAGATAATGAATCGGCGAGAATGAAGAATCATGTTACAATCATCATCATCAATCAAAGTAAACTAAAACGTGTATTTTAATTATTGTCACGATTTCGTTTCTGTTTCTCTCTTTCCCTCTTTTTCTTTCATTGACTAGCTATGCAGCTATTTGCAGTGGTCGTTTAAAGAGATAGGTACGATTTTAATTCGCAGTTATTAGAAGATCGTGACAAAATAGTATGAACGCGAATGTCAATACACAAAGTTCAGTACTGAAATGTTGGGTTATCACACACTCGTGAGTATCGTTTCAATTTATCTTCTTCTTCTTCTTCTCCTTTTTTTTTTTTTTTTTTTAAAGCAAAAGTAGTTATCAAGTGAGCAATAAACAACGAGCAATTTTTCAATGATGCGTTTTTAATGTCGAAAAATTCAGCAATGGAGATAATACAAACAAAATCACGTTAAATCGATTCCATTGCTCGGAGCATCGACGTTAAATTTTATTTATTCACTTCAGAGTCATTCCGCAAGTTTCGGACAGCTCATTAATCCAATGGATTTGAGTTTTTGTTATCGCTTGTATACTTTTTACTTTTACATCGATAACATCTGCAAAAGAAAAGATATAATCATTGAATTCATAAAAGTGCATTGAGGGCGCTTTTTGAAACTGTGTATGTGTTATTCAACATCGTTAAATTTATTGAGAGAGGGGGGGGGGGAGAGAGGAGTAGGAAAAAGGAAAAAAACGCTGCCTTTTAAAAATTAATCAGTGAAATGTTCGGTCGGATTCGAGAAAAAAATCTTCGTTTTAACGTTCCAGATTAGAGAATGGTGGCCTTCGGAAAGAGAATTAGAAACTTTGATGGAATCGTGATTGGATAGAGGGAAAAAAGATCGATGGACATCGATCGGTTATAAAGTTGTTTAGGCCATTGTCAATCGTCGTTGCTTGACAGTTTTCTTTTTCTTATAAGCCGTTCAAATTGGATCAGCCGTGTTTATGACGTGTGCCACTGATACATGAGCCGATAAACAAACCGTTACGACGCTTCTGCTGCAACAAGCTCATCGAATGATTAATACATGATTGATGATGATACATTTTACTGATAGTTTCAATCATTTAATATTTATATACTACTCCCATTTTTCTACAAATGTTACATTTAATAATATTGAAAATTATCGAGAACTGCTTTCGCCAAATGTAACATGCATTTGTTATAACAGTATATACATAAATATATGTAATATAAGTTATATTTAAATCAGGTTGCCGAATGATTAATAATATCGATAAGATATGCTCTATCGCCATACGACTAGATTTTCTTTCGCTGCAATTTGTATATTAAAGATCACGATAACGTCATCATTTTTAATGTAAAAGAAGTTGCAACATGACTTTCAGATGGAACAATATTATCGATGCTTAACTATCTTTGATCAACTACAAAATATATGCTCATCTCAGCTCATTTATTACATTAGAAGACTTGAATTCATAAACTGTGCTCACTATCACAGTATAAACTTATGTGTGTTTCATTTTATCTTGTACTTTTCATTTTTTGTTATTAATGATAATAGTTAAATAATACAATAGAAAATCGAAATGTACACGAAGAAAATTTTTTTCTTAGAATTTACTCTGAAAAAAATGGTAGTCCTGGGACAATATTGTATTTTGAAGAATTTTATGTAATTTTCTCTCATTCATTAATAAAACTATAATAAAACATAAAATAAGTTTGATTAATTTTACTGATATGTATGAAAATCTTTAAAATATTGTATCACAACTACTATATTTTCCGGGTAAAAAAAATTCTCTCCGTGTAGTGATATAATAGTTAACAAATAAATAATTGGTAGTCGAATTTATGATTATCAGTGCACTTATAAATTTAATAGAACATTTAATTCTATCTGATAATTTAAAAATAGTTTTGTTGCTCTTAATATCTCAATTATGTAATTTCAATTTCACAAATTTCTTTTTCTCTGCTGAAAGTCTAATGAAATTTTATGATCATTGCAGACCGACGCAAAATTATGTCAACATCAAGAGCAGTAGCCCGGTATCTCCGAGGACGATAGGAACGGGAGCGACGTACGTGCAGGGTGGTGCGGCCGCATCGTCCGCGGCGGCGGCGGCCGCAGCGG